GTGTGTGTGTGTGTGGAAATATAAAATCCTTTCTCAGTAGGACACTTCAGTGAAACTAATTCATCTTTTTTTCCCAGCAGAGGGAAACCTCATACCTTTGTGGCTTTCTTTTCTTGATAAGGTGATAAAATCTAGTACTCCATGTAACAGGAAAATTCCCAGAAAGCAAGAGGTATAACAGAAGTGCTGAATCAACATAAAAATGATTCTCTACAAAATGACATTCAATCATGTGTAATAACAAGAACCTCATCCATGCAATATACCTTTGTCACTGTCTGGATGATGGCTACCAAAATATTTGAATTCTTTTGGATAGAGACAACAATAATGAACAAGAGCATCCTCGAGAGCTTTTCCAGATAATATCAAGTTAAATGAAGTTTAATATTGGATGCAGCTGAAATAAAAAACATTCAAATTTCACAAGATGATATTTCTACTAGTTTTGATACTCCCTATTAGTTAGATAAATTTTTAACGAAACCAAGAGAGACCAGTACAAAGTTTGAATGTATAATTGTCAACCATTTGTTGTATTGCAATACATCAAATAAGCTGTAGTCCCATTACTAGCTTAGCTTTACTCGTGTGATCAGGATGTGTAGGCAGCTGAAATCAAGAGAACATGCTAATGCATAATTTATTACCCCTACAATCTTAGGTTATACCTGAAAATGATGAACCAAGTTTATAATGACCCAATGATAAAATCTTGAGATATTGAGAACAAATTAAATGTTTCCCATCCATTGTCCATCAATAGAAGTAACTTGCGTACTACTTCCAACAAAACTGTTCGGAAGAACAAGCTAAAGAACCTACAACAACGAAATTTACCTCTTCATATTTGAGTTTTTATTTTGATATCACATACCTGTTGAATATTTGCAGGTAAAATAGCTCTTTCAATGGCTTTTGGAGTCCATATCTTTATGTCACTCTCAATTCCACTGCTGGCAAGCACTGCGGTATGAGGATGGGACTCAATGCAGTTCACTACGTGCTTATCTGCTTCCATAACACGAACAAGATCCCCACCCTTTTTCTTCCATATGAAAATTCTACCACAGTCTGATCCACTCACAACATATTCACACTTGGGCCCAAAAAAATTCACGCCCTTTACTGTTTCAGAGTTCCTGTGCCCCTTGTAGACTTGTGGACCAATGTTTTCTCCCGTCTCTATGTCAGCTGGAGATGCACCAGATTCGTGATCTTGGCTCATTTCACCCTCATCACTGTCATTGTACAATGGCGAAGTAGGGGATGGATCAGGTCCCAGCCCCATGTCCTTTGTGAAAAGATAAATAAACTCTTCATTATATGTAACAAGAAGCTCACTCTGGTCAGAGAAAGCCAAGCCTGTTATCCCCACATTCTCATCACCAACTAGATGTGGGGGACAGAAATAGTCAACCGGTTGGCCAAAATCAGTGGATCCATCCCACTTATATTTGCGGATGTCGAAAATTCTTGTAAATTCATCTGATCCAGCAACAGCAAACAGATAGGGATTTCTTGGATCTATTGTAATTGCATTTAGATGAAGTATGGACATATATCTCCTCATCCGCTGAGGTCGGCAAGTAAAAAGCTCTGTAGCGGTGTTTGTTCTCAAATCTATCTGTAAGAACACATTGATTCAGACCATTAGCCATATAAAGCTCAGATGAAAAGAAGCTATGAGAAACCTCGACCACAACCATACCTATTTGTCAAAGTCTCAGTCTCTTTGTATTTCAGTGTTTTAGTATTTCTGTTTTGCTCTTCTTATTCCCATTAAGCCCATAGATTTTTAGCAATCATTTACAAAAATATAGAGGACATTATGTCATTATTTTACTTCAACATATACTCCTTAATAGTTTGATTTAAAACAATGTTTACAACTTTACATATATACTGTTTCCAAACATAAGGACAAAGTTGTTCCAGTAAATGAGAGAGGGAAAAAAAGAAGAAGAAAAGAAGCAATCTTCTACTACCAGCGAAAGAGATATATTGAATTCAAACTAATGAGTAATATCATAAATATAAAAAGTTTTCCATGAGATGATGGAAAGGGCTATAGAACTACAGGAACCACGACAGTAACTCACATGTTGAACTAACCCATCTTCTCCACAAGTGTAAAAAATATGAGGGCTTGCAGGCTCAATTGCCAATTTGTGTGCTCGTCCTTGATGTTTGGCCAGCAACTTGGTTTCCACCTTCCCATGTTCTAGAATCTGTGCTTGTCTCACCTGCATGATTGTTATCATTAAATTGTGTAAAATAACAGTATCTTTGATGTAGTAGCAGAAGCAAACTATAATCCTTTTGCAATTTTGAAGTAAATCTGCAACCCATAAGAAGGAAATAAGTGCTTCCCTTTCAGGAAGATCAAGGAAATAGAGGGCAAAGACAGCATACTATTTAGGAAGGTGATGCCCTACATGAAACATCATGAAGAAAGAAACCCAAGAAAAGAAGTTACCTGTCCATCCGCAGCACAGGTAACAATGCTTCGATCATCAGTGTATGGCATAATTTTTGCTTGAAAGACATTGTTATGATGACCTGAATGGAACGAGAGCACAACTTTCCCAGTTTCCCAGTCCCAGAGTATGACCTTTTGGTCATCAGAGCCTGATATGACTATGTCCCCATCAACATTGAAGCTAACTGTATTAACACAGCCCCTGTGCTTCTCCAGCTTCCGCAAGACATCAAGTCGTAGCACGAGATCCTGGTACAACAGTTAGCAGGCTCCAGGTTCTGAGACTTACTTGGAATATAAATAGGACACAGCTAAGAATCTCTATTCAAATGAAAATAAACTCTTCAGCTGATATCATATTTAATATACTTTCAAAATAATTAAGGACGGAAACGGAGAAGGTATTGCACTTATAAACCACTTCACCCTTAACTAAGTCAATGCAACAATTAAGCAAACTGATTTTGTTTCAAATTTACAATCCTATCTCTCTCTCTCTCTCTACTTGTTAATGAAATAAAAAAAAAAATCTTGTCAAAAGGCGGTAAGGAAGTGCTTATTAAAAGCACTTTATTGAGTATGCCCACCTATTACTTGTCCCTGTTGCAAGCGCCGGTGAGCATCACAGAAAAATTGGAGCAGCTTCAAAGGAATTTTCTTTGGAATGCGGCGGATGGAACTAGAAAGTTTCATCTAGTGAATTGGCAGACAGTCACTTCCCCAAA